ATCTGCATTAAGGAGTATAAACTCATTTCTTGACTGATGAGAAATGTGATAAAGACATAACTTTTGTATACTTTTTTAAAATTTGGGATTGTACAACAAATCTTTTTAGCCTTTAACAAGCAATGACGTTTAACATCACAAGGTCAAAAGCAGCATGAAGTTTTGATCTCTGCAGGGAAAATAGGTTGTTTGCTAATTGCAGCAGCTAACTTTTATCATTCCACCTCCTCCCTTTTATCATTCCACCTCCTCCCTGAAGTAGGTCAGTGCATATGTACTCAGTTGCCTGTGTTGAGTGGCTGAATTACAAACATGCATGTAACCCGCCTGTTGCCATACTGACAACTAAGTGAGTCATGTTCATTAAATTCGCCCAAGACATTTTTATTAAAAACATACACAAGATTAATAGGGTTGAGCTTAATAAAGTAGATGTAATAGCGTTCTCATACTTGATAGATTATAAAATTAGATACCTCAGAATTGCTTTCTAATAACTCTTGCTACAGATTAGAGTTTTTATCACCATAGAAACTGAGACAAAAATCATTATTTCTCACTTTTATCTTTGTTATGACTTGGTTGTGTAATGACAGTACCAAGCAATGGGAAGAAAATAAAAACTAAGCAGTCCTAATGAAAAGCAATAACTGCTTTGCTTGTTTTACTTGATTAACTGTCACAAAACATGAGTCAACACAACATTAAACCCATGTGCTTTGAAATGAGTAAAACTTAACCTGTCTCCGCACTAAACAAAGCAGCTTTTAACGATGAAATTCAATATACATTATAAATCAGAGAGTTGGCGAGCTTAGTTGTGAGCTCTCTGCCTTGTGTGAGTATAACATATTAAAAAATGAGAGAGCATCCAGCTCAGAATAGCAACAAAAATCCATGTCAACTTTTGAACACAGCAACATCATTTACAGTAGCTCTTTCATACCGCATGTCCTCTCTGTAACTCTTCTTTCCATGTGACTGGTCTGAATGAATAAAAATGTACAGAATTTCTTATTGAATTAAATACACTTCTGTGTTTGGAGGCTAAGTTAGATTGTTAAGACCTTGAAATAATAATTGAAAAATATTAAATAATATGAATTAGAATACAAAGGTGAAAAACTTCAGGAAAGCTTAATGGCATGTGATGTGTTTGACGTCATCAGAATTGGACCTTGGACAGCTCTTTCAATAAAAGGCTTAATAATGACAGCTGTCACCCTCAAAAGCAACATTCTAGACAGATAGATGGAGTTATTTGACAGCA